GGCTGCTGGACGGCCCGTGGAGCGGGGTGGGGAGCCCTGGGGTGGGCGGCCGCGGGCCCGGGGCCGTTGAGCCGGGGGCCGCGACCTCCTCAGGCTCGGGAGCGCCGGAAGCCCCGTCTAGTCGGCCGCCCGCCCTGCAGAGCGGCCCTGCCCGGCGAGCTGGATGCATTCGGCGCGCCGGGGCGGGCGGAGTCCCCGGAGCTCGTGGGCGCGCGGACTGCAGGCGCCCGCCCCGGGACGAGCCGGGCTTCCGAGGGCTGGGGCCTGCGGCGGGTCGTCGGGGGCGGCCCCCAGGGCGTTCTGTGGCGGCGGTGAGAACGGCCCACGCCTTCTCACTGTGCAGGATGGCCGGCCGCGTCTGCGGGCGGCGCGTTCCGAGCCTGCACACAGTAGGTCCCTGGAGCGGCCCCTTTCTGGCCTCGCTCCCCCCTAGTGCGGGCAGGGAAGGGAGCTCCCTGCACACATTAGGTCCTAGGAGGGGCTCCTTTCTGGCCTTGTGCCCTCCTACTGCAGGCAGGAAGGGAGCTGCCTGCGCACAGTAGGTCCCGAGAGCATCTGAGTTCTGGCCTGCGCCCTCGTCCCGGGAGCATTGGGTCCTCGGCAGCTGTGCTGTCAGACCCACGGTCAAAGCGGAGCCTGGAGAAGCAGGGTTCCGGGAAAGCTTTGTTTTTTCCAATTGTCCTGGGGAACAGAGTTGTTACTCAGAATATGAAACATTACGGACAAGATAAAAGAACACTTATTCATGAACTCTAATACTGTTCAAATTCGTTTACATTAAAGGTGTACAAGTTGACATCACTTATACCTAGAATTTTGTTGTCTTGCGTGCATTAAAGAGATCTTGGCCTGAGGAAGAGGAGGAGGATGATTTCTCCAATTCGTGAAAGGAAAAAAACACCTTGCCACCGCGGGAACCGACAGTACCAGTGAGAGAGGGTAGGAGCTCCAAGTTGACAGGACATACAGCTCGCCCTGGTGCAGGGGGACAGGGTTTGCTAGAGCCACCAGTCGCCTGAGATGCGAGCAGACCGAATTGAAGTCTGCTCTACGTGTAAAATGTGCACTGGATTTCTAAGATATAGTACGAAAAGAACGGAATGTAAACTATTCCGTTTTATATTGATTACATGAGAATGAAATAATGTTTTGGAAAATTTAGAATTGCATATGTGGCTTATGTTATCATATTTATCTTGGATAGTGCTGTTCTAGAGGGTAAGAGAGTCTCTTTGAAGAAGACCCAGTCTTTCAATCGTGAAGGAAGGTGACCACGTTGCACGTCTCACCTGGGCCTACAGATTTACTGGGCTTCACTTAATTTTTATGAAAGGAGGAAAAAGGACCAAAAAAAACAGAGGAGATTTTCAGAAAGCAAGTTCGAATTCATAGAGCGTTATGTCACATGAGCATCACTATAGCTGTTGATAATAAACATACCAGGCTGTGCAGAAATTTGAATTATGTTTAATAAATCTGATAAAGAATGTGAGGAAGCATACAGAATTTTAAAAATTTCTGTTGAAAAATACTTAAGTTCTGGCTTTTATCATTTACCCTCTAGATACAGTATATCTCTTTAGTTTTCCAGTGAGCTAGTAAGCTAGCTTTCAGGGAAGCTTCATTTCCAGTTTTTTATACTTGCTTTAAAAATATATTTATTTTCGTTCATTTAACAAAAGCCTGCTGGGGGCCAGTATTGCTAGGCAGTGCTGATGTAAAAGCGAACAACCCAGACACGGCCCTTACTCTCTTTGAGCTAATGAGTATCAATTCAGACTCGGTGAAAAAGTAGATAATAACCAAGGTAGAGTATATTTTGCCTTTGAGTAAGTGCTTTACCTCTGTAAATTCAACACGTTAATTGTTTTAAACCTAGAATTTATATATTCCTGCCGACATGTTAATGAAGAGTCTTATTAAGACTTGGCTGTGGGCTAAAAATATATTAGTAAAAAATCAAAGTGTACTTAATTGATCCATTAATCATGAGAACTTAAGAAAAAAAATAAATTTGAGTATTTCTGTACCTTTAAATATGAAGAAAAGATGAAAAAAATTATAATAGCATCTTATTTATGATACCCTCTTTTAGCCTTTCAGCGACTTGTAGGTTCTAAGGAATTTAATAATAGAATTGTAAAGGAAACATTGATTTATGCCCCTAACATAGTTTAAAATTGCTGACTTTAAAAAGTTAAATTTATTTTAGCATATTACCTAGTTCTTAAATCAATATATTTGAGTCTTTTAGGAAAAAGTTAATCGTAGATATTATGTTAGTTTACCATTGCTGCTGTAACAAATTACCACAAAGTGAGAGGCTCAAAGGGACACCAATGTATTATCTTAACAGTTCTGTAGTCAGAAGTCCACCTGGGATCTCACTGGGCTAAAATCCAGGTGTCCCCAGTCTGTGTTCCTTTCTAGAGGGCCTAGGGAAGAATCAGGCGTTTTGCTCATTCAGGTTGTTGACTGAATTCAGTTCCTTGCTGTGATGGTATTGAGGTCCCTGGTTCCTTTCTGGCTATCAACTGAGGGATCTTTCCAGCTTCTAGAAGCCATGCACACTCCTTGGGTTGTGGGCCTTTTTCTCCATCTTCAAAGCCAGCAGTGGTGCGTTGAGACTCCCTCATCCTTCTGATTCCTCTTACCTTTTCCTCTCTTGTTTCATCTCCCTAATTGCAATCTTTTAGGAATCTGATTAGGTTGGGCCTACCTAGATAATCCAGAATAATCTCTCCATCTCAAGGTCCAGAGCCTTAATCATATCTGCCAACTCTCTTTTGCCGTGGTGAAGTAACACATTCACAGGTCCCAGGGATTGGGGCGGGGACATTTTTAGGGGCCCTTATTCTGCCTACAGCGCATCTTAACTGGGGCGTTGCAGGATATCCAGCATTTCTTAGCAGGATAGAATAATAGCATAGAAGAATAATGTTGATAATAACAGGTAAATTTTGTTGGATGTGTAATATGTTCTGGGCACTATTCTGAGTCCTTTTTCTGCATTTACTCATTTAGTCCTCAGCAATGCCCTAGGAGACAAGCACTGTTATTATCCCCACTTACAGACAGGGAGAGAGGTGCAGAATGGGGAAGTCACTTCCCTACCTTCTCACAGCTTTTAAGTGGTGGAATGAGGATTTGAACCTATGCAGTCAGGTTCCAGGGCCTCTGTGTGCTCTGAACCACAACACGGTAAAAATAATTTCTGAACGTTTGGATTTACTACACATGCTTTGGTGATATAGTGACCATGAGTCCTAAAAAGAAACATTTGCTTTAGATAAATTCTGTCTCTTTATGAAATAAAACCTGAAAATTAAAATTTTCTTTTTAATATACCACAGTGCCATCTCCTTTCTCAGCCTCTGCTTCCTCCCCACTCCAGTCCGGCTTCCATCTTTCTAGCAGTGTTACTTTCTAGTGTTATCTGATTGCACACTTTTTAGACACTTTGTTCAGACTCTCGTTGCCCCCGGTTAATGTCTGAGTTCCTTGGAAGAGCACCAGGGCACAAACTTTGATTACTGCCCCCTGCCATTCCTCTGCCTAGTTCTCACACAGCCATCATTTCTAACTCCTCGTTGGTCTCTAGCTATTATTATTCCTTGAGGGAGGCCCATGGCGTGTCCTGGCTCCCTGGCCACAAGGCCTTCCATTACCACTCCAAACCGTCGTTCCCCACCCCCCCCCCGCCTTCTAATAATCTTTGCTGTCATAGCCTTAATTCAAACCCTTATCATCTCTGCATTTTGTCATCTCCTAACAAATTTGTGGCCTCCAGCCTTACCACTCTTCAGGCTTACTCTTCCCTCCTCTCCAGAGTAATCTTTCTAAAGGACAAAAGTCCACACGTCACTCATCCCTCGGTTACTCTCCTTCTTCATACTCTCCAGTGTCCCCCCATGCCCCCAACCCCAGTTTCTGCAAGTACTATTCCTTTTTCTAAGTATCTTACCACCAGTTAGGTGCCTGCACTGTAGCATTTGAGGTATCACAATTGTTTATGTAAGCACTTGTCTTTCCTTCGAAATCATGAACTCGTTGATAGGGAATAAGAGAGAGTTTTGCTTAAATGAATTTATTATATTATTTTGTCATCTGTTTACATGTCTGTCTCGTGTCACTAAACTGTAAACTCTTTAGGGGGCGGCTCATTGTTTTATTCATTTCTTTTTTCCTCCGTGCCCAAGACGTAGGAAGCTCTTGGCAATTAATTGTTGAATGAATGAATTGGGAAAAATAACCCAGAATACACACAATTAAAAAAATTCTACTTGTGTCTGAAAAGGTATCTCAAGCAACTTATTGGGAATATATAAAGTTACGACTTTTGAAAAAGTGTAACTGGTGGTTAAAAGCATGGGCTCTGGAGCCGGGGTGCCTGGCTTTGAATTCTGGCTCTGCCACTTACTACCTCTGCACTCTTTAGGGGCAAGCTGGTGACCCCTGTGCCTGTTCTTTGTAAAACCGGGCTGATAGTAGTAACTATCTCTCAGGGTTAATGGATCCAAACGAGGTAATGTTTATAAAGTGTCAATAATAATATCTACCACATTGGAAATATTCTGTAAGTGTTTGTTAAGTGTAAACACAATAGTTTATGTTTTCATTGCTTTTGATGATAGCTAATTTCCTTATAATACAGTGATTAAAAAATAGCCCAGTGTTTCATAATTGTGATATTTAACTAGAGATTTTTAAACTCCATGATTTTTACTATCTTACATTATAGAATGACCATGTACATTCATTAAACATTTAGAGAGTACTTGTGTATGATCCCTCTCATGAGTAACTCACAGTATTTTCTCTTTGTATTGTTTTCTATTAGCTGCTGTAATGTAACAAATTACCACCAACTTGTAGCTTACAAAACAGCATATGTTTATTTTCTTATGGTTCTGCAGGTCAGCAGTCCAACACTGTTCTCACCAGGCTAAGAGCAAGTTGTCAGCGGAGCTGTCTTCCTTTCTGGAGACTGTTGGGTAGAATCCATTTTCTTGTCTTTTCCAGCTTCTAGGAGGTGTCCACAGTCCTTGGCTCGTGGCCCCCTCCCTCCATCTTTGAAGCCAGCAATGTTGTATCTCTAACCATCCTGCAGTTAGAGTGCTTCCTCTGACTATAGACCGGGAAGGTTCTCTGAGTTTAAAGATTAAATCCACCTGGATAATCTAGGTCAATCTCCCCTCTCAAGGTCCTTAACTTAATTACATCTTCAAAGTCCCTTTTGCTACGTAATTTATTCACAGGTTGTTGGGGTTTGGGTAAGGGCATCTTTGGGGGGCCATTATTCTGTCTGCCACACTCTGTACTGTCAGTGAATCACTGCTGAAAGGTACATAGGTTTTACTTTATGAAAATAGACAGTATTAGCCAAGTTGTGAACAATTGTGCCGGTATTGTTTATCATTTATTCCTCTGGTGGTTGGTGAGAGCCATATCTGCTTAGCAGAGTGCTAATGTACTGCAGGCCTCGCTGGTCAATGTCTTTGTTTTCAAGGACTATTATTCTAGTAAGGAGGAGAGAATAAACTCATATTAGTTGAATATCTGCAATGGGCTAAGCACTCTACAGTGAATTTTAGATGCGTTAGTCCCATTTAATTTCCACGCCAAGTTCATAAATTGTGGTACGAAGCCTACAGATGACCCTTAATGATCCCCACTTCATAGTATTCATGCCCTTGTGTAATCTTGTCTGTTTGAGTGTAGGCTGGACCTAGTGACTCTCTCACTGAATGGCGTGGGACAAAAGTGCTAGGGTATGGTTTCTGGGATTAGGTTGCAGAAGACTGTGACTTCCCTCTTGCTCCCACTCTCTCTCTTTCCCTTTCACCAGCTTGTTTTGATGAAGCAAGCCGCAACATGGAATGTTGCCCCATAGAGAGACCATATGTCAAGGAACTGGGGGCGGCCTCCAGCCAACAGCCGGAGGGAACCAAGACCCTCAGTGCAACAGCTTGCGAGGAACTGAATCCTACCAACAACCAGAGCATGAACTTAGAAGCGGACCCGTCTCTAGATGAGCCTTGAGATGACTGCAGCCCCAGTGAACACCTTGACGGCAGCCTTGTGAGAGGTCCTGAGCCAGAGAACACTGCTAAGCCGCACCAGATTCCTGACCCACAGACCTTACAAGATAGTATGTGTGTATATATATATATTTTTTTTTATTGAGGAAGATTTGCCGCAAGCTAACATCCATGCCAGTCTTCCTCTATTTTTTAGTATATGGGCCGGCAGCACAGGATGGCCACTAACAGAGTGGGGTAGGTTCACACCCAGGAACCCAATCGTGGCCGCGGAAGCAGAGCACACTGAACTTAACCACTAGGCCACTGGGGCTGGCCCAATAAATATTTGTTAAAGACAGTGTTTGGGGGAATTTCTTATGCATTAATAGATAACTGATACTAAGATATTAGTAGTATTTTAGTGCAGATGAGGGAAAAAAAACAACTTGGAATGATAAGGCAACTTTGTGTATCTCCTAGTTACTAGTGAGAGCTCTTTCCACTGCAAATAATGATAATAATAATAAAATTAGAATGTTGATAGTGGCTTACATTTATTGAGCACTTACTAGGTGTTAGGCACCTTTCAAATCATTTTAAATGTGTCATCTTAGATTATAGTCATGCATTGCTTAACAGCAGGGATACATTCTGAGAAATTTGTCATTAGGCGATTTCGTCATTGTGCAAACATCATAGAATGTCCTGAAGGGAAACAAAATGTGTCACCCCAAAACGTGTCTGTTTAGCTGGAGGGCTATTTTAGACTTATTATTTTTAAGAAACAAAAGACTCAAAGTTTTTCTTGTTACCTTCCCCTTAACTGTCTAAAAGAGTTCATATTAAAAAACCTGTCTCAGGAAGCAAGATATCACCTTAGCATCACATGAACTGGGTGGTAGACAGGGAGGAACCTAGAAAATAGTGTTTGTTGGGCTCCCCTCTGTTTCTGTGTGGCCAAAGAAACACTTATTTTCCAAATATTTGCTCCTTCTTATCTCCCTGTGAATTGCCTTCCTTCCCCTTGAAGTCCCTGACTCTCCCCACTCCCAGCATTTTCTTTTGTCTTTAGCTGAGGATGCTATTTAAGGTGAGAGCTTTGATCACTTTGGCGAGTTACTCAGTTTTCCTGGGTTTCTCCCATGTATACATGTTATTAAACTTTTGTTTTTCTCCTGTTAATCAGTCTCATGTCAATTTAATCCTTAGACCATCCAGAAGAACCTAGAAGGGTAGAGAAAAATTTTTCTTCCTACAGTACTTACACAAAACTAGATGGTATAGCCTACTACACACCTAGGCTGTATGGTACTAATCTTATGGGACCACCGTCATATATTAGGTGAGTTGTTGACTAAAACATTGTTATGTGGTGCATGGCTGTATTACAAGAACTCTATGAGATAGGTACTATAATGATCTCCTCTTTATAAATAATGAAATTGGAGGTAAGAGAGGTTAAAGGACATGCCCAAGATCCCCAGTTAGATAATGTATTGGCAAAATTTGAACCTAGATTGTACAACTCTACAGTTTTCACTCTTAATTGCTATAATAAGTTGTTCCGTAAAAATCCATGTTCTGAGACAAAAGGTGATGGATGCAGCAGGAAGAGAGGGAAGGGTTATAACAGTCACAGGCAAATGAGATTCCTCCTGGTCAGGGGTACTAGGAAATGTTGGGGTGCTAGGAAGTCACTGGACCTGGCTGTCAAAGATTGGTAGGATTTAGATGTTTGGCTATTAGAGGAAGGAGTGTATCAGCTGAGCAAAAGAGGTGGAAAAGCATGAGGCACAGATGAGAAAACACCACCACACCGTGTCTAGAGCTGGGGCAGGGTGGGGAATAGGGGGAGATAAAATTAGAAAGGTAGTTTGGAGCCTGATTATAGTTACATAAAAGATTGTGAATATTTTTTTTCTTTTTTTTTTTTTTTGAGGAAGATTAGCCCTGAGCTAACATCTGCTGCCGATCCTCCTCTTTTTTGCTGAGGAAATTGTCCCTGAGCTAACATCTGTGCCCATCTTCCTCTGCTTTATATGTAGGATGCCTGCCACAGCATGGCTTGAGAAGCAGTGCGTAGATCCATGCCCAGGATTCAAACCTGCGAACCCTGGGCCGCTGAGGCCAAGCATGTGAACTTAACTGCTAGGCCATGGGGCCAGCCCCAGATTATGAATATTTCTTTTTGTTTTTTTGAGGACAGTTAGCCCTAAGCTAACATCTGCTGCCAATCCTCCTCTTTTTGCTGAGGAAGACTGGCCCTGAGCTAACATCCATGCCCATCTTCCTCTACTTTATATGTGGGACGCCTGCCACAGCATGGTTTGCTGAGCAGTGCCGTGTCCACACCCGGGATCCAAACTGGCAAACCCCCGGCCGCCAAAGCAGAACATGCAAACTTAACTGCTGTGCCACCGGGCTGGCCCTCCAGATTATGAATACTTTTTAATAAAAAAATTGATTCTTGAGTTTTTTGACTAGTAGTTAAAATCAGCTACATCTTAGTTTAAACTATGCAATGCAACTGTTATAGAGATACTATTCTGATGAATTTGAAACATGGAGAATGAGATTGTATGGGTTGTATGAAAATATGAAATTTAGTTCCAGTGAAGTGCAAAAGAAAAATAGGAATGCACACGGAACATTTTGTGTAGTTAAATTTCCTAACACATTCAAAGATGTGTTCAGTCTATATTTAGTTTCCGTGAAACTGCATGAATATCAAAATTTGCAGGCCTTTTTATTTCCTTGTAAAAACAATACTATTAGCGGTTACATTCAAAGCACATTAAGTATTTCACTAAAAATAGAGTGTACAGAAATAAAGAAAAAATATCATTATGATTGTGTTGTCAGTTACCTGGGAGTGGACCTTAAAAACAGTACGATGGAAGGAAGTCATGTGAAGCAGGGCTTAAAATATTAGCCTCTCTTCTTCTGAAAACATCATTCAGATTCACTAGATGGAAATTTAATTTTGTAAGATGTCTGTACTGTTCAAATTTGTTTATGGTGTGAGCTTTCAATTTAGACAATTTATCATTACTTGGAGAGGAACTTTTTCTCTTAAGCCAGATTGAGTTTCCTTTCCAGGGAATAGATGAATCCAGGAAAAATGTTTCCACAGCTCATACCTAGCCAAAAGCAGTGGCCATGGAGGAATGGAGAGCTCGTTGAATAATGACAAAGGGAAAATATGTAATCCCTTTTCCCGGAGTCTTTCTGTGTCCTTGACACGTCTCAAAACTCTCCAGTCCGTAGATTCAAGCAGTTTACATTTTGGTTCCTAAATTTAGGCGTTGAACTTCTGTTTCACAACAGTATTAAGCACGCGATTGCAAATATGAAATACATAATGAGGCCTGACTTTGATTTGTCTCTGACAGTTGTGTGACCTTTGAAAGGTCTCTTAACTGCCATGAGCCACAGTTTCTTAATCTCTCATCTGTTTGACATGTCCTCTAAGATTTCTTTCTGTTTTAATGGATCAGGATTCTAAAGGCCAATTTTGTATGACTGCATTTCAACCCAGTCCTACACTTAAACATGTGGACCCCTATGCTGCCTCCACGTATTTTTTGAAGCCCTTTTTTCTATATCTGCAGGTTTTCTGCAATAACATAATTATATCCATAAGAGAGGCAAAGTCCTAAATTCTTAGCCTAGCCCCAATTTGGCTTTCCTTCTTGTGATTTTTGATCTCTTAATTTAGGAGAGGATACTGCCTCCACCTCGCAGTCAGACAGACCCTGTACCAGCCCTAGAGGAATAAGCTTGAAGTCATTTCCAGGTAAAATATCTCCCTTTTCTGCATGTATTTAAGTATTTGTACTGTATATCTTACTGCCATAACAGAGGAAGTCAGTGAGGAAAAGAAAAAAAGTATACGGCAATAATTTAACCTGATACCATAAACCTTAGCCACCTCAGCATCCCATGCCTAGCTTCATCCCCAACCCACAGCTCCCAACTCTGGAGGATTGCAGTGACTCTTAGCGGCAGAGAATTTCTTCAAAAATAAGCCTCTGAAATCATGCTAAGGTGTTCCAGCAAGAGCTGTTCGCGTATTACATTAGAGGTTCAGGACTGGTCTGCAGTCAATATTCTTGTCTCTCTCAAAAATGTAGGAGTAGAATAAAGGTTTGTATAGGTGCACTGGGATTTCACAGGATTTCTAAGCAGTCTGGAAAGCATCCAGAAGGCCTGATTCTTCTTGAGTTTCTGAATTAGGGCATTGTTCCTCCTGGGGCTCCTTTTAGAAGGATCTAATAACTAACCATGGCTCCTGATTATCTCCGGGTCATAGAAATTCCCTGAAAGTTGAATAAAGGCGATGCTGTAGAGTTATGAGAACTGGGTTTGGAGTTAAGGAGACCGGAGCACTTATGTCCACCACATAAATTGAGTTGAGTGCCCTTGGGCTAGTGGTGGAGCTCATGAGGGCCTCAATACTTTATGTGAAAATGAAGAGTGTGGGCTAGATAAGTTTTGAGAGCTTTTCCAGTTCTAAACGTATACATTTCTAAGAGTGAATTGCCACATGCCTATATAGGCTTTGACTTTGACCCAGACGTTGAGGTGAATGAATGTCAAAGGGAGGGGCTGCGTAGCCAGGCTTTGGCATTACCCAGAGTTGTAGAAGCACAGCTTTAAGCCACTTTGACTCCAAAAACTTCTGAGGAGAAAAGTAGCCCTGAGAATATAAATTAAGCTGCCTAATGCTATACCATCTCTAAGTGTTTTGTTTTTATAACATACAATTTACAGAGATATAAAAACTTCAAAGTGTTCTTTTTAACCATTATTATAGAAAAAGTATAAAATTGATTATGTCTATATTTACTCCTTTCAAATTCTATCATTTTAAATTATCATTGTTGGAACATCCTTATAAGGTTTACTAATCCAATGATTATCAACGAAACAAGATTTTTACTGCATATGACGTGATGTTAGTCACTTTGGGAGGATAGAACACTTAAGAGAAAACGCTTGCCTTAGGTAGCGTGTGTGCCAGGAGAGGAGAAAAGCCACAAGGAAATAAAAACATGAACAGGAGTAAAAGCATCAAAATGCCCAGGATATTTTGCTGGAGAATAGAATTAACCTAAAAGGGAAAATATATACTTTGGTTTTCTAATAAAATAATTTTGTGAGAACTTTTTTAAATTAAAGATTATTTTACTTAGAAGCAGGTTGACATCTTTCTTTTCCTAGTGTGCAAAACTCTCTTTAAAGATAAATGTTGCAGTGGTATTTTTAATTATTGAGGCTGGGCACTTATTTCCTTTTTACATTCGCATACTTCCAAAGGGATTTGGAACATGGAAGAGTTTCATAGCTGTTTAGAGAAATGAGAACTTAGGTCTTCATAATTACAAACATTACTTCCCAGTTCTATCGAAGTTCAGGCTTTATTCTCTATAGTATTGAACCTTCCAAGTTGTGTTACATCAATATAATGTATGATCTGTGTGTGCTGGAGCGTCCAAACATTGGTGAGTCTCTAGGATACATTAAGGCAACTTTGTTTCAGCTAGCTTTGTTGTGAGTCATTTTTTTCTGTTTGCTTAGTGAGTTACCAAATGAACGTATAATTTAAGAAATAAATTTCTCCTCATTTCCAAGTAATTTTAGCTCAAACACAATGCAGTAATAATGTAGCTTGGCTCTCTACTGGCTGATTACCTGAAGCAGTCTCTGAGCACATTAATCATAAGGTTAAGATGACTAGAAGATGCTCATTTTGGGGTAATCATGATGGATTCCTACTCACCTATCAAAATTGTATACCATATCCATGTATGTTTAAGTAGTGTTTTGTGAAGGCAAATGTTCCTGTGTTGTCATATATGATTTTTAAAAATAATGATAATTTATAATAAAGTACAGGTGACTCATATTTCTGATTAAGGATAGGCTATTTCCCTTAAATTTTTAAAAATAATCTTAATGGCTAATAATTATGTGGTACTCCCTGTATGCCAGCCAGCCCTGGTGGTCCAGTGGTCAAAATTCAACACTCATATCCATGACCTGGGTTCATTTCCCAGTCAGGGGACCACACCACCTGTCTGTTGGTTGTCATACTGTAGTGGTTGTGTGTTGCTGTGATGCTGAAAGCTATGCCACTGGGATTTCAAATACCAGCAGGGTCACCCATGGTGGACAGGTTTCAGCAGAGCTTTCAGACAAAGACAACTAGGAAGAAGGGCCTGGCCACACACTTCCAAAAATAATTGTCCATGAAAACCTTATGAATAGCAGTAGAGCATCATCTGATATAGCACCAGAAGGTGAGAAGATGGTGCAAAAAGACCAGGCAGGGTTCCACTCTGCAGTACACACGGTCACACAGAAGTTGGAATCAATTCAATGGTGCTAACAATATTCACAACAACTCCGTGTGGTAGGCATTGTTGTGATCCCAATCCCACTTTACAGGTGAGGAAAATGAGGCACAGAGAGAGTAAGTAAATTGCTCTGGATCATAATGGTGGCAGGTCACAATTTGCACTCAGGCACCACGACTCTGGATTGGTGCTGTTAGTTACCATGACACACTCCCTAGGAACAAATTACCCTGCACTTCAGCTCCCCTCATCTTGAGGCTGGGAGCCACATTCTGGGACTTGAGCACCTGCAGCCAAAACCTGTTTTTCACATAATCACTCAATAATAAATGAGTGAGATGGGAAGAAGTCAAATTACTAGCTGGTGGCCAGGGCCAGCTACATAATTTGCAGAACTCGGTCCAAAATGTAAATGTGGGGCCTCACGTTCAAAAGTAGGGGAAAAGTATCTCTAAAGGTACTAAAACATAAAGCCTTTTCCTTTCCTTCCTGGTCTCTGTCTTGCCCTGGTATTTTTAATTTGCCCTTTAATGTTGTTCTAAAGAAAAATTGCAAGTGTAAATTATTAGCATGAATTTTGCCATTTGTGCAATGTCTATTTTAAATGCAAATATAGAACATTTAACTAGTATGTGAAATCCCCACAATTGCACGATGCTTTTGTTGTAGCTTGTACCTGAGCAGCTTTTTTGTTTTTTTTAACCAGAACAATGGAAACTCTGCACAAAACTAACTAAACTGTTTTTATTTTTCTTTTTGACACACATGCATTTTACCAACACTTTCTACCTCTGGCTAACTGATGAGTAAGGAAGGAAAAGGAAATGTGGGCTGTCCTATTTTTTCCTTTGCTTCTTTGTCGTCATTTTCAGTCTAAAGTGGTTCACTAATAGGGGCAACAAATATGAGTAAACAAGAATATGATGAGATTCCTTGGTTCTTCGTGTTTTTCATAACACCATCACTCTGAACTTTGACTTACTGTGGGTCCACTGGAATCCTGTGCTCATGGACATCATGAACACTGCATGTGAACTGGGAGGTAGGGAACAGAGCAGGCTGACATGTATTTTGCTTGTATCTCTTCTGCTCATGTGTATGTTCCACTGTCTCATTGGACTTCACTTACAAAACAGAGGTTCACATATGAAATTATTGAGAATTTCATCATGGCAATCGCAGAGCCCTTTTGAGTGCAAGGTCATGCACAGCTCACATGCCTGTGAAGCGGGCCCTGCTTTGGACCATTAGATGAGATGGAAGCGGGATTAGACTGAAACCATTTTTCCAGTCAACCCCAAACATCCCAAACATCATACTAAAAATATAAGAGATTGGCCTGGGAGGGTTAGGTGTGGTCACAGGTGATAAAAACAGGGTAACCACTGCCTACAAAGACAGTGGAGTTGGCTGGCTACAGCTATATTGAAATGAGGCCCTGCAGAAACATAATGAAAGATCACCTGCCATTAACAAATAGTTAGTGGCTAAGTGTAAAAATTAGAGAGTTTGGGTGGTTTTAGCATATTTAAAGAGCAGGTCTCAAATGACAGGGAGAAGAACTAGTTGTGAGAGTGGCAGATATGTTTGAATGCTCAGCCAAGGTAGATCTGTTATGTGAAGGTCAGAGCCTTAGTAGGAAAAACTCAGGATCCTGAGAAAGGGTACAGGGATCTCTGGATGTCCCTGAGGATGTTGATTCTACAAATCCTCTGGACCCTCTAGATATGCAGAGGTGGCCACCCTTCCCTTCCATAGCAGGGGTTAGTCCTTCAGCTGTGCTGGAAGACGCTGCAGAAACCTCTCCCCACAGGGCAACCGGTGCCCTCCTCAGATTCAGCCCACATTGCCATTCCCGGCTGCCAGGCCAATAACTAGGGATTGGATTTTTAAGAGTGTTTGGCCAAGGTGCCAGAATGTAATTCTAAATAAGCAATAATTTATTAACTTGGGGGCACTTTCTTGGGAAATAAGGATTAACACCCTAGCAAAGACGCTAAGCACGGGGCATGTGTGCTACTGTGGTGGCTCTTAGAAACTTAGAAAAACAATGCGAAACTCTCAGTAAGTTAGAAACGCCTGCATTTTCCTGGCAGTTTTCCTCTTCCGAGGAAGGAAACCAAAATGCTTGAGACAAGTGGGCATGCTGGAGTGTATGTATTATGTAAGGCTAGGAAACCTACCATAAGATTATGTCCCATGAGAGGGTCAGGAGGACAGACCACCATCAGGAATGTGCTGGTGAAAGAGATGTGGGCCAGCGATGATGGTAGGTGGTCATAGAGTGGTGCTCATTTCATGAATTGATGACTAATGGGGCCCATCAATAGTAGAAGCCGGGTGGTGACGCTTAATCACCAGAAGCCAGAAGGTCACAATTCTGTAAAAAACTGGCAAGGTCACAGGAGGTTGTGGAGATGGTAAATAAAGCATGTGT